AACAGAACATAGTTAAGTACGATATCATCAACACCTAGTAATATATTATACAAATTGGATTCTGGCAAATTAATTCCGAACTCTTTAAAATGATCACGAATTTCAAAATATAGATTCTTAGACTCCACACACTCAACAAACAAGTGGTCGACTGTTTCAGGATGCATATGGCAAAAAGAACAAGAGGAATAATCGAGAATTCGAAAACGATGTAAATCGGGATTAAGAAACAGTATATTATTTAAAAGCTTATATTGAAAAAATCGAGAATAGGTATCTATGGATGTCTTATATATCCTATTATAAATACTATTCCAATCCCAAAGATCATTCTGATTTATTCTTTTTACTAAATTACCTTGAGAGGTCRGATGTTTGAATTTTTTCTCTATGAACCACTGGTACAGCTGCTTTGTATTTATTTTACYCAATTCCCTATTTTGATTCCCTAATTTTAAGCTATCAGGATTCTGTTTGAAAACATTCTTTTTTCCTTCTATTTGTTTTTTCCATAACGCCGGGATTGCTTGCTTTATTCCAGCCCACCTCATGAAATCTTTATCCCGGATTCCTTTACGTTTTGCATATTCCCAAGTTATTTCACCATTGTCATCATATAGGTCTGAGATGTTTTTAATATCCAAGTCGACGAAGTAATCATAAAAAACGGAGTTTCCTCCTATTTGTATATATCTATTATTCCAAATGTGTTGATTATATATATCATTTGGTTCATCACTATTACTTTCTGATATCTCTGACCACGTTATTAGTACACTCTTGTATATACCATGAAGCACGGAACAAACGTAGAGCAATTTAGGCAGCGCGAGTGACCTCAAAACTTGGATTTTACCATAAAGTGTTAGGTTTCTTGTCTTCCATAACGATAAAATTGTCTGAAAATTAGTGAATATCCATTTAAAATTTTGTTCACATCTGCACTTATCATTATAAGAGAAGTATATACCCAGTATTTTTATCCCTTCTTGATGAAAGTTTTTCCATTGGAAATCTTCATTCCATTCTTTTGGTTGGTCCCGATTTACTCTTCCTAACCATCCGACTTCTGATTTGCTTACGTTTATTTTTAAAGATGAGAAGTTATGATATTGTTCTAGTAACTCCARCACGTTGTTGAACGAAGTTATGTCTCCTAAGAAAAAGGTGGTGTCATCTGCAAATAAAACCAACTTTTTTTCCTCTCCTTCAATATTCACTACTTTTATTTCATTACAGCTCCGAATCATAATTGCCATGATTTCTATAGTCAGTATGAAGATGTAAGGGGAAATGGGATCTCCTTGTTTCGTTCCTCGGTGGATATCAAAAAATTCAGTTGCCACGCCGTTATTAATGATGCAGCTTTGATTGTCATGCAAAAGAATTTTTATCCATTTAATAAAATCTTCATCAAAACCAAATTTATGTAATACTGCAAAGATAAAATTATGTTCAATTGAATCGAATGCCTTTTCAAAATCCGCTGCGAAAAGCAAGGCGTATTCATCTTTTTGTTTTAGATAGTCCATAATATCTTGGATTATCCTAACGGGTTCCTCAATATTCCTTCCTTTAACAAAAGCAGATTGGTCATAGCTTACTAAATAGGGTAAGACTTTAGCCATTCTATTACTTAGAACTCTACTACATATTTTAATGTCTACATTTATAAGACTAATAGGGCGCCAAGCGTCCAGGTTTCTAATATCTTTGCCAGGTTTTTCTAATAGTGTAATTAAAATTTGCTTTTGTGATGTTGACAAGGAGCCCACTTCAAAGTTATAATTTAAAGACTTTACCAAATCTTCCTTCAAATCTTCCCACATATACGTATATAGTTCCTTAGTTAAGCCATCATTACCCGGTGTCTTAGACCGACCCGTTTGTTTCAGGGCCTCAAAACATTCTTCATTCGTCATCAATTTTCCACATTCTTCCTTATCCACTTCAGAAACAGATGGAGTTTGAAGTTGCGATAAAAAATCCTGACACTCGTTTATTGTTTTATCTGATTCAGATTTATAGATCGAGTGGAAAAATGTCTTTATTCTTCGGAGTATTTCCTTCGGATCTGTAATTTCAGTTTCATCTTCTTTTAAAAAATATTTCATATTTTTTTCACCTTGTTCACACCATTTGGCTTTGGACCTAATGATGATACCATCAGTAATATAATCGCTTTCCACCTCTAACTCTTTTAGTAGTTTATCATGTCGAACAAACAATGCTTCATTTTTTTCCCATCCCGGTTTATCCTCTATAAATTTAATTTTTGATTCCAGATTATGGTATGCCTTTCTGCGGCTTCTAGCCAAATCCTTTGAAAATGCCATTGAGAATTTTCGAATTTCATATTTGATTAACTCCCATCCCAGTTGAGGGTTATGTATTTCTTCATTGTCTAATGATATTTTAAAGTCGTTTACCCGTTTCCTTATTTCCTCACAATACTTTTCATTTCCTACAAGTGAATTATTAAATTTCCAGAAAGAAGGATCCCTCTTTTCAGTGTCGAATATCTTTAAATGCAATGTTATAGCCGAATGGTCAGTATACTATATGGCTCTACCTATACGGCTATACCTATACGGCTATACCTATATGGCTATACCTATATGGCTATACCTATATGGCTATACCTATACGGCTATACCTATACAGCTATACCTATACGGCTATACCTATACGGCTATACCTATATGGCTATAGCTATATGGCTATACCTATACAGCTATACCTATACGGCTACATGGAAAGCCATGACTGTCTTCGTTGGTTATTTTTTCAGTTAGATGGTGCATATGTACTGGTGTATGGTACTTGTGTGGGTGTCCAGGGTAGTTCTTTTATTGTGTGTGGTGAATTTCATATGATATCCGGTAATTTTTACGTCATATGCGATACCTGATACTTTGTATTGAGTGCCAGTATCCATTTCTACCGTGCAATTTCAACGTTTTAGGGTTTTTATTTAGTTGTATTTGGTGCCTTTAACATTTAATTTAGGTGGTCAAGCCTTCATGTAAGGWGACTAACCCCATAAGCTTCGGTGCCTACCGTAGTATACGCGGTTTCCAATTCACCACATTCAGCGCCTACTTAGTTGTGTTCGGTACCTATCTCATCGTGATTGACTCTTCTTTGCTTATGTTTTCTACCTATCTCGCTGTATTCGGTTCTTTTKCCCTCATATTCTGCTAATTTCGCATCATAAATAGCGCCTATCTTGTTATATTCGGTATTCGTCTCCATATATTTGGTGCTACTATCTTGATTGTTGGTGTCAGCTCCATTATATTCGGTTGAAAGTTGGCATTATATTATGTGAGCAAGTATTTTTGGTCAGCTGTATTCCCTTAAAAATTYGTTACCAGGCTCAGTTGATTCTTACTGCACGATAAAGTCTGGGGAGAGAATTCCGAGAGCCATCAGTATTTTCGGTCATCGGACTGTCACAAAAAGATCATGCTTCGTTTTAAAAGTCCAAAATGGCGAATGCTATGTTATCTGTATTGAAGAAACTTAACCTCGAACATCTAGCGGAACGTTTTGAGTGCGAGAAAATTACTCCAGATATTGTTTACAAGCTTTCCTTGCATGATTTAAGGAATCTAGGTTTGCAAAACAGAGATGAAATAATGGCCCTGAGAATGGAATGCAATGTATTTGGATCAAAAAAACCTCATCAAGTAAACGAATGTGGTCCGCCAATTTACGAAATTCCCAAGTCTGTACTGGAATGTTATTTGGAAGAAAACTTTTCTATTGGTGAAATTGCCAAAATCATGACCTTGTCAGAAAGTACAATTTATCRTAGGATGAGAAAATATGGACTTAGCAAATTAAGTTTTTCTGATATCACAGATGAAGAGCTTGATGATCACATGGATAGAATCACTCGAGAATTTCCGCACTGTGGCGAGGGAATGCTAARACAGTTTCTTTCTGAAAGAGGTGTCAAAGTACAAAGATCTCGGCTGAGGGAAAGTATCAATAGGGTGGACAGGGTGGGTGTTGAGTCACGAAAAAAAGGAAGACTTCAAAGAAGAGTCTACAATGTTTCTACTCCAAATAGCCTTTGGCATGTTGACACCAACCATAAACTAATAAGATGGAATTTTATAATTGTTGGTGCCATTGATGGATTCAGCAGGATACCTGTTATGCTTAAATGTACAGACAACAATAAAGCAGTGACTGTTCTTGAATGCTTCCTCAAGGCAGTACATGAATATGAATCCCAAGCAGAGTGTGCACTGATATGGGTCAAGAGAATATTGGTATTGCTGATTTTATGATTGAAGCAAAGGGTTCAGACCGTGGCAGCATTATAATAGGGAAAAGCACTCACAATCAACGCATTGAAAGACTATGGAGAGATGTTTTTGAGGGTGTATTGAGTTATTATTACAATTTGTTTTATTTCATGGAGGACAACAACATCCTTAATCCTCTTAGTGAAGTACATCTTTTAGCCCTGCACTACATTTACATGCCTAAAATCAGTGACAAACTAGAAATGTGGA